CCATTTTTTTCGGCCGAATTTCCTTATAATCCCAAGCGGTAATCGAAATTCCAAGTGTCGTCTGCTAGAATGTAGTTCAACGAATGAAGTCACGTGATCAACTAGCGGATTCCGTGTCAGCAGAAAATTTCTATGGAACACAAAGAGGACCATATTCTTATGTTGTTTCAGTGACTTTTAGCAATAAATCACGCTACGTATCATATTTTGTCAGTCACTATTTTTTTTTAAATCGTGGTTCTTTGAAGGAATTGTCACGCATTCTGTCGCCGTTGCCGAGTTGGATGCTCATGGAATATGGGTCAAAGTGAACGATTCATAAAGAAAATCAAAATAAACCAATTTTAATTATCTTGTAGAATATCTGAGGAAACATCTAAGACATACAAATTTTTTTTTTTTTTTTAACTTTGACGAAATTCGGTGTTGAATCCTTATATCCACGAAAATAGGTTACACCACTGTATAGCAAACCTTTGGCCATTTTGAGTGATATTGTTTGTGCTAGACTAGATCATTAAGTCCATTGATCTATTTTATAAAGAGAGTCGAAAGGCTGGTGTACTCAAGGCTAATAGGGTCTTTATTTTGCTGTGTCACTTAGTTGTTTGTAGATAAATATTTGATAAACAAGCGACAGTTGTATTACTGATGAACCTGTAATGGCTTCCAAGCAAGTGATAAAAATAGACATTGTGAGTGATGTTATTTGACCATGGTGTTGGATTGGTAAGCGAAAACTGGAAACCGCGATGGCTGAGCTCGCTGACAAGTTCGAGTTCGCCGTCCGCTGGGAACCATTTTTGCTTAAACCCGACACTCCACCTGAAGGAATGCCTAAACCAGAGATGTATTCAGATCCAAACAATCCAAGGTAACTCGATTCCTCATAATCGGGATAATTCGATTCCTAATATTAATAAACTAGACGTTCTTATTGCATATAACGTCCCATTTTCCTCGGGTGCCCGAATTACTTCGTATAAAGTATTATTAGAGATTAAAGATTAGGGTGATTGAAGAGTAACAAGTTACTATTCAATATAAGGCACTGGCACAGGGTTAAAGTTATGTTTACAATTAGAGTGGTTGACAAGAAACCATACAACAATAGTCACTGTTCAACAGAATGTACTGGAACAGGGTTATAAGACTGAGAATTTATATACTCGCTGACTGGAGCTCATCTCATGCTGCCGATATGAATTTCGATTGGAATTGGGGGTTAACTTTCTCTAAAACTTACAATATTCGTGACCCCAGTTATATCAATGTAGAACATTAAATCTTAGCTAAGTTATTGGTTAAAAATCTCACCATCAAATCTACTGAGTTAAAATTCAATCTGAATGACACTGATTGGTGATAACTGGTCTAATCAGTCAGCACAATCTAAACTTTCTAAACACATTCACAATTTGTTCGGAATTGCTCATATCTACCTCGACAAAAAATTAACAATATTGTGAAAACAAATGGAATAGAATATTATGTTGCCTTAGTTTAAAAACCTGACAGTCAAAGACCCTTAGTTCACGATTTATGAGCAGGTAACTTATATTAGGCTACCAGTTTGTGTGATAATCAACAGTTTACCATTGTTCACCAAAAAATCACAATTGTCTCGAATAACATGGTGATTGGGTTCTCATAAGTATATTTAAGTCTTCCAGACTGAAATCGTTGGTTACTATTGACCATCTTTCGTCTCGGTGAATTTCGTTACGCTAGTTAATTAATAGTATATTACCTTGAGAATGGCCAAAATAGGGCTTATTTTTAAACCAATTTCACATGTTTTAGCATGCATATCAGCCTAACAGAATGTTCATGTCCAAATTTGACCAGTAGTCAACAGTGGTAGTGCTTGATTAAAACTGAGTAAATTGAAATGTTGTACGCCATATTTGATTTACGTTCGATTTTACCAATCGCCTGCAGCAGTGTCCGTATGTGGACGTGGTCTGTAATTCATATCTTTATCTTAACAGGGTCCAACATCTAATACAGGCAGGTCAAGCAGCAGGATGTGAATTCACCATGAAAAGTAAAATGTTCCCTAATACATTGAAGGCTCATGCTTTATTAGAATATGCTAAAGAAAAAGATGATGGTATCAAACAGAATGATGTCGCTGAAAACCTCTTCCAGGTAAGTCCATTCGGGAACACTTAGACAGCTTATTAAATTTGTCTTTAAAAAAATGTCCAATATAGCCCCACCTAGCCCAATGAGACCTCTGGATAGCTATGGTACTGTTGACCATTGCCGTTGTATCCACCCAATCATTTTTCCTTTTAAAAGTCTAAAGGTTAGAGCACACGAGCGGTCTTGGTCGGAGACGTTTGTCGCCGATTAAAGACTTGTCTTGAGTTTCTACGACTGGAACGGGCACGTGCGAGATTTTACTCAAGATTCGAGTCGGAGACAAAAATCTCCGACCAAGACCGCTTGTATTCACACACCTTTACAAATGTGACCCTGTCCATTTCCTCAAACGTAATGAATGGGTGTAATATCGTCACGGGTAGCATGATATCACATCCCTACATCATCACGTCTGAGGAACTGAGTAAAATCAGATTTATCGGACTTGGTTTATATGTTCCATGGTATATTACTACTTACCAACTTATTTTGTAGAAATATTTTAAAGATGGTAATTTATTAGATGAAAAGAGTTTATTAGAAACATCTAAACAGTTTGATTTTAACACTGATGACGTGAAGAGATATATAAACGACGACGGCGTTATACAATCAGTAAAAGATAAATCCAAGAGTTGGAAAATAAAAGGAGTCAACGGTAAACTTCATGGAATCTTAAAGTCATTATGCCTTAACTTTAGTGTATACTTTTCCAAGTGACCCGTATCTGTGGAAGGCGAGGGACTTTAAACGCAAGGACATTGGTATGGTTTGTTCTGTCGTTGGGAAGATGAGCGAGGAGGTCGACAAAGCATTCTGAAGAAATATATTTAAATTTAGGTGAAATGTTCTATGCTCCTGCACCCACCCCCCAAAAAATGACGAAAAATCCTTAATTAAGCTATCATTGTGTTTATTTTACAGGTGTTCCATATTTCTATATAAATGGTCAAAGAATGTTTTCTGGTGCTCAAGATGTTGATGTTTTCAAAAAGATGTTTCAAAAGGCAGCTGATATGTTTCCTGTTAGTCGTGCATAGTTCTATTCTATTGGCATTTATAGGGATATAGACTAGTTGTTTGTTTTACCAGCTGATAAGAGCTTAGTTTCAGCTATTTGTTACGCTTTTCAGGATTGATATATTGCCGTTACCTAAAGAAACATGGAAATGTCTTATTGACATAATCATGATGATTGAGACCTAATATCGCTAACATCATTCTGTACGTACGGAAGCCAATAACGAACTGGAAACTTCAACAGTATAAGTTGAAATGTAAGGGAACCAGGCGTCGAATTCTTGTTATGAAAACTGATACGAAAAGATCAAATTGAGTTCTATCAGCTGGTAAATCAATTGTGATGATTTAGCACACTATTTTTAAGTATCCCTATTACCATAACAATCAATCTCAAAACGAGTAAAAATTTTCTTTTGGAAAAGGATATTTTGATATATGTACTAAATAACAATTTGATATGTATTTGTGATATGAATATATAACGAACTAATGAATATTTTATATAATCCATATAAACCATAAACTTATGAAAATATGATATAAATATAAAAGAAACTTCTGAAGATTTGATATAAATATATAAAACGAATTAATGAAGATTTAACTACAAAAACGCCAGTAGAAAATCTGACGACATTTCGTTTCTTATTTATATCAAATAATTCATATTTTTCAACTTTGATATATCATGAACTCTGATTATTGATATGTATGGTCTTTTCAAAAATGTGTTAATTGTTAATAATTTGTTGTTATAAAGGAATTTAGCTATTATAATGTGTGTGATATGAAGGATGCCATTATGGCCAATGACATAACAACCTTGTCGTGTCATTTTCAATAAATTATCAGAATGCATATATAAATTCCTAAAAGGAGGGACAGGGGGACAAAATGAGAGGCGTCTCTCAAAGGCCACACCCAAAGGGTCGAAGTTTCTTGTGTGGATTTCTGAAGCCAACAGATTTCAGATGTCCTGAGATGAATTTTGAGCTTTTAGAGGGCTTCATTTTAACTTCAAAATAAGACCTTTCTTAACACCTTCCCCTATACGTACACCCATTGGCCTTAAGCTCTCTGTCGCCTGGAATAAATATCAGACGTGCTAGTTATCGAATGAATTATTTATTCTCATTATGGTCAGAGCAATCATCAAATTGTCCGTATATTTCATGTGTTCTCCGAAAATATATATATAGCCTACTTGAATTTCTACATAATAATATAATTAGTACATATAATTCATGTATCTTCTTACGGTCTTTGAAGATAAAAAAACATCATGACAAAAATCGATCCTTTATGGTCTGGATATATATGCTAAATGACATTTATACTAATTTTATAATTTTGATCAATGAACAGATTTGATGAATGCTAAAATCAAAGAGCCTTCACATCATGTGTGTCAAAGCAAAATGAAATCGAAAGCTATAAGAAATATGGAAATATTATATACATGTATGCCAAATTTCAAAGGTTTACGTATCACATTAGACAACACATTCTCAGGATTAACCACCAATTATATAGTTGAAGATTCCCAAAAATTAAAAAAAAAGCTTGACTAATGATTGTTTAAATCTACCTATAACTACAAGATCAGCAAAACTTTCTTTAAAAATTTAATTGTAGTCTGAATCAAGAAAAACGAAGTACTGAGAATAGATCTTGCTAACCGGAAGTATCTGGAAAAGGGAGTCTACTTTCACAAAATGGCCAACAGAAAACTCCTGAAAAGTGAGAGGCTTCGGCTTCGACGCGAAAGTAGGGAAGAAGTAATTAAATTCGATCCGTCAAAGGATCCAAAGGACATAGTTAAGACAATACTTAAACTTTTAATCAGTCAGAACAATGTCCCTACCTCAAAGAAACTTGCGAATTTGAATTTTTTCGTCAAGGTCCTTCGAAAACTGGACTGTACGAAGGAGGTTCTCGGTTTATCTGAGTGTGAGATTTTAGTATGTTTGCGTATTGGTTTATTTCATGAAGCCAAAGAAGTACGGGCCGGTACCCTAAGAGTCGTAAGACATTTGTTGGAAAATCAGAAATATGTTGATGCATTGTTTTATTTTAATTTGGACATGATCATTGCAAGATCTCTGGACATATGTCTTGAAAATGAGATTGAAAGGGTACAAGCAGTGAAACTTATTCGAAAAATTGGACAAGTGGCTTCCGAAAGATTGCCCGCAACATTATTGTATCCTGTCATAGCAATTGGAAGTGATGGTGGCAGTGAATGGGACCGATTGTTACGCGTTTGTTTAGCAACTTTGTGTGAGATGGTGTTTCAGAACATTGATGCAGTTTACAAATGTGGTGGTATAAGCACAATATTACGCAGTATTTTAGATTGTCATTTATACCCTCGCCTCAACGAATCCCTAACATGCACAATCATTTATCTTTTGAATCACCCAAGGACACGTCGTTATGTGAAAGCCAATACTGACTTAGAACAATTACTAGCCCCATTTACTGACAGTCATTTCAGATATAGTGGTGAAACAAGTGACAAAGTCAATGCAGATGAAAAAGAAAAGCGTTTCATTGCCAGTAAAATGGCAATAATTTCTGTGATTAGGTCATGGCCTGGTTTAATTCGGCTATGCCACCCCGAGGGCACTGCATTACAATCATTAGTTGGTATTCTGTATCTAGACTTCACTGATATTAGGAAAAGTTCTATAGAAATGTTGTTTGACTTATTTCGTTTGAAGGTACCTGAATGGTCAAGTGACTTTTCCGAAGCATTAGCTAGTGTAGATATTAGTGCTGAAAACGAATCTTGGAAACTTGGCGAAGGGTTTGTTGCAGAAGAAGGGCGTTCCATACTACCCCATGTAGCTCTGTCACGACCAAACTTAGTGGAAAATCACATTGCTCTTATATTGTGTTCTTGGATAAATGCAGGAATATTGGAAGCATTAGTGGAAGTTATTGTCACATCAGAGGGTGCTTTATTTTGTAGATCAGTGATATTATTGGGAGAACTTTTGCATTTAGCTAACAATCTCTTACCACCCAACTGTAGTAGTCATAGTCATTGTTTACCAACATTAATAGCAATGGCATCTTCATTTGATATTCCTTTGAGTAAAAGACATCAAGCTAGTCTAGCAATTTCACATTTAGATGAATTGCACATAATGAAAAAACGTGGACCTCTACCCCGTAGTTTGTTCTTAGACTTACTATTGCAACATGCTGGAAAATTCTTGGAATATGCTGGCAGGCATTGGCATTTGAGAAGGGACAAATTATGTGACTTTTATTTCAAGAAAATTCAGACAGAAGATTCGACCAATCAAGCCATAAAGGACACTCATGTATTAGTGGCAACTTCTTATACCTCGTGGGATCTGATTCTCATAAGTGCTCTTTTGAAAATGCCTGATGAAAAACTTCTGCGTTTGGATGATCATACATATGTTCGATTTGCTCGTCATTTGTTGGCCTTCTTTAAGCCATGTAATGGTTTGTTTGCCAAAGTTGATATTTCCTCAGAATATGGTCATAAACTGTGTGAAATTGGATGCCATTTTATAGACTTCTTGCTCAAATCAAATCAGTCAGAAGCTAAAAGGCTTATTGGAGAGTGGCTTTCGGACTTGTCATCATGTATTTCAGAAGTGATTGGTACATATGCTGAAGCTCAAGCCTCCTTGAGTGTGCAAAGTCTGCACAATAAACTTAGTCAATATTATTTCCTGTTTATCGGAAAATTTACAGCTACACAAAGAGGAGAGCGATATCTTGATACATCTGGTGTTTATCAAAAACTTTTAGAATTAGTTTCCACTACAAATCAAGATATTTATATCAAGCTAACATTATCTAGTCTAAACTATGGACGTGATGGGATAACTAGAATCCTTTTGTCAAAGGCATTAACTGCATCTAATGAATCAGCTAGATTGTATGCAACCAAGTTTTTGAGAGTGTTACTTAGAACTGGTGTAAATGGCTTTGATGTCTGGGGGCTGCAATATTTGGTTACACAAATGTATGATCCTAGTCAAGTTGTGGCAATGTCAGCCTTGCATATTTTAGATGAAGCCTGTGATATTCCTGCAAATTTAACAGCATTAATAAACCTTCGCCCTTCATTCTTACATTTGGGCCAGAAAGGCAATATGATGCTTTGCAAATTTTTAGCATCACCTTTAGGATTCAAAACTCTCATGGATGCAAATTTCGTTGTAAATGAGCTCACCAAATGGGAAAAAGGTTTCAATCATAAATATGTTTTATATGTAGAAGAACTTTTGAATGAAGCATTAACAACATATGAGAAGACTTACCATGGAAGCTTCACCAGAAGATCCATCTTGAAAAGACCCAAGAAAGAGGTTTTTCTTCCAACACATTTGTATGGACAGCTGGTTCAACATGAGGAAGGCTTCGATTTGCTCCAAAAACAAGACTGCATTCAAGAATACTTCCATACAGTACAGGCTCTAGATCTAATCACAGATGATGATATTGTTAAGCTTAAAACTGCTTTGTGGGCTGTAGGGAGTATTGGCATGTCACCTTTAGGGATCAAGTGGTTAGAGGAAGTTAATATTGTACCAGAGATAATCAAATTGGCCGAAGAATCTGGAGTATTCTCAATCAGAGGCACAGCTTTTTATGTTCTTGGTTTGGTAGCTACAACTCAAGAAGGTACTGACATTCTTGCAAAATTTGGTTGGGAGTCATTGTGTCATTCCAGAGAAGACCCTTGGCCAGTCTTAATTGAGAAAAGTGTACCCACTATAGACAATGAAGCTATCAGTGCTGCATTGAAAGTTGATGAGTTGCTCATAAAACGTTCTCAAAGTGATGTCTTCACAGATGAAACATTAAAAACAGATGCCAACAGGAACCAGTTGGAACCAGTACCAAGGAGCAACACATTACCATACAATACCAAACCCCCATCTTTACTATCTAAAACAGCTCAAATCAAGGCTGAATTTACCCCCTATAGACTAAGAACATTTAGTGCTGAAAAGTTAAAATTTTTTACATTAGGTAACCCAGAGCTGCAAAGAAGTCTTAGCCATGAGATTCCAAATATCGGACCTGACATAACCATCAGCATGTCTCCCAAAGACCCTTCTCCAAATCCATTGGAATCAGAAATGGACAGAAATAATCATTATTCTGAAGTATCACCTTCTCCAGATTCTGGTACTAAATTTGCCTTGTTTCAATTGGGCAGTCGAAGTTTGACTAAAGACAATCGAGGTGGAAGTTTAAGTGATGGTTCCCAGAAAAGTAATAGTAGAACAAACAGCTTCAATACAGATTCCACCACAAGTGGTGTAGGTTCTTTTGATTCAGGAAATGTGTCCAGTACTGGTATGATAACCCCAACTACTGCAAATTCAAACCCTACAACACCTTCCACCATTACCAACGTTCCACCAACTGTTTTAGAATTCAAAGAACCCATTCATCACTCTTTAGTCCAAAGAAGATTAGCTAAGCTGAACCGTGTTCCTAGTTTAAAAAGGAGGTCAGCATCTCCATCCATAACAGCCTTTTCCCCTTCTCCAGAACCCCCTCTGTCGCCTTTTACCAGTTATAATGATGCTTTAGGTTATGCTGCCTTAAGGACTATTAAAAGAACCCATACATACACATTTGATGGAGAATATGGTCAAAATACCCGGTCATTGTACAGCAGTTTTGATCAAGTTTTTAAGAGAACATTAAGCACAGAGTCTGAGGGTAGTGCAGATGGTGTAAGTGATTTTGCTACCAAAAGAAATGTTAGTACAGCCTCTCTTCCTGATTATGATTCCCAATACCATCACCTGAATCCTGCTATCAACAAATCTTCAATTACCCTCTCTAAAACTGACCGTTTTGTTGGACTGTCTTTACCTGTTGATGTCAGTATGGTATTTGAGGTAGAAGAAGGTGAAGATGCAAGGTCAAGGTTAGGCAGCTGTGCATCTGCTACAGCAATGACAACAGATGTCAGTGAAGGTAATCACCTCAGTCTACATTTACCAGGATTGAGATTACTCCCAGAGTATGTTCCTCCTTTGAAAAAAGACTTGGATCTGGAGCATAATATCTGTAAATGTTTGGTCTGTGTCCGTACTTCTACTACTACAAATCCAAGAACAATATTCAGAGACATGCCAATAGATGATAATGATCAATGTGATATTGCTACTAAAACCATGAACATGGGCTGGAAAATGAGCTCACTAAAAGAAAGTCAAGAAGACTCATCCAATACTCCAAAAAGCCTCAGCACAACAGATTCAGATTCTGGAATTTCCAAAACTGGTGACAGTGATCCAAACAATAGACTTATGGTGCGAAAGGAAATCATTCGCCTTGTGATCAACTTGAGTAGCTCTGTGGGCTTAAAGGGCTCTGAACAAGGACTGCTAGTGCTAAAACAGAAATTTCCAAAAGCTTTTCAGGACTTGTGCTTCTATTCGGAGGTTGGACAGATTCTGGCAACTTACTCTTTTAGACTGGCTGCCAGACGTTTTGCCCAAGAACTGTTTGATGAACTTGATGTCTCACCTCTATTGATTGAGGCAAGATCTCTTTTAGGAGTCAATGATAATGACAGCTCACACATGTCTCCTATACCCCAAGGTAGTGCTAAAGACGATTTTGTTGAATTTTCTTAACCAAAAACTTTCCATGATACCTATAATTATAAATTATATTTTTTTATAAAAAATCTGTGTGCACCTGTTTTAGCTGTTGTGTGATAACCAAAAAGAATAATTTTCAAATGGAGAATGAAAAAAATGATTGATTTTTCTTATGAATGTTTGGAAATAAATGGAAATGATGAACAATATTATTGCACTTAATGTCTCATAAAAATATGTAAAGTAATCATTAAAATGAACAGAACCAAATATCAGAAACCAGAACAGCTTTTAATGTCTTTACTGAACTGTCTACTGAAGGTAATCTTTTAAGTTTTATATCTTCGAAAAGTAAAACTCAAGAAAATGTATTTTTGTAAGTTCTTTGTTGGGGACTTGTTGGAAAGGGTCAACATATTTCACATAAGTGTATATTCTGGCATCCTAGTGTTGTCAAAGATGTACTGATAATGAACATCAGTATCAGCATGATTGGTTGATCTACAGATAAGACTACTTGTCATGTCTGATGACAACTAGGCCTGTAACACACAATACACAAAATACTTTATTGAGAAAACCAAAGGTCCAACCAATTGTATTATTTTCAGTGGAGGTGAAATCTAGTAAATGATGAAATTAATGGAGTTATATGTCCAGTAAATGATAAGAATAAAGATAGTGTTGATTGGTTGTTATCAGAATATTATATATGGTCTGGTTTGCAATGGAAATAGATGATGAGGTATACTTATTTTAAAGGGACGTGGGCTATTTTGGGGAGTTGATTTTAATCTTGAATATATGTAAATAGTTTTCAGAAGTACTAGAAATGTACGTAATCGCATTATTCCTTTAAAAATACTTCAAGCTAGGAATTTTAATTCACTTTTCTATATATCACAGAGTATCTGATCTTGACGAGTCATCATTTTAATGTTCAAACACGGTTAATTCTGGACACACATGGATTGGAAGGCTCAAATTTCGACGGTGAGCTTGGAACACTGATTGGAACACTGATTGGCTTAGCTAAAAAATTCCCAATGGTCTCCGTATTCGAAGGTTTATTATTGAGCATCATGTAGATGAGTGTCCAATGTGAAATACTAGCAGGTTTATCCAGATATTATTAAGTATTCTATTATTGCTTTGTTTCAGTTGATGGATATATGTTATAATAACAGACTGACAAGTAAAGAAGAAGAAAGATTTTATATTAAAAGCTATTGGAAGATTTACAGAAGAAATACAACCAGATGGATTTTCAACCATAATTTTGACTTTAAAACTCATTTTAAAATGGTTTTGACTATAATAATTTAACACTATTTGCAAAGCATGTGACAGTCAAGGATTTGTAATTGTGCTTTTTGTGACAGAAAAACATACCTTAGTTATGAAAACAATCAAAGCTGAGATTTTGGCCTATGGATGACAATTTGTTCTGAAAATAAATTGATGCAAGCCCATGAAAATTTTACTAAAAGTCTGAATTTTTCTTCTGTAAAATGGATACTTTTGACAGAATTTAATTGTCAACTTTTAATAGAAGCAAGGTTTGAGCGTTAAGAGAAAAATGTTACTCAAATAGCTTGTATTGAACATATCCAAGCTCATGCTTGAGGCTTGCCAATAAAGTTGTTCCTCATGTTTCACATACATGGTATAAGAAGAAAAATGACATTCATACAAAATTTTGAATTTATATGTAAAAGTTTAGGTAATAATTGTGAAGAGTCATTTTTGAGAATAATTGATTTAATATAATTGATGCTTATTTAAACCAGTATGAAATTGTGTAAACAATATTTGAACAATGTAAACGCCAGTTGAATAATGTAAACAATATTTGAATAATGTAAACCATTTTTGAATAATGTAAATAATATTTGAATAATGTCAACAATATTTGAATAATGTCAACAATATTTGAATAATGTCAACAATATTGTAAATGATATTTGAATAATGTAAACAATATTTGAATAATGTAAACGATATTTGAATAATGTAACTCGATTGTGAACCTTTGTGTGAGAAGTGCTGACCATGTGTTAATTGTCTGAAATATTTGAACCATTTTTAACACCTTGGATTATATTTGATGCATATGAAACTAGTTTTACATGTTTGAACCATATTTGAATTATGTGAACCATATTTGAATTATGTGAACCATATTTGTACTATGTGAACCATATTTGAAATATGTGAACCATGTTTGGAATATGTGAACTATGATTGAAATATGTGAACCATGATCGAATTATGTGAACCATATTTGAAATATGTGAACCATATTTGAAATATGTGAACCATATTTGAAATATGTGAACCATGATTGAAATATGTGAACTATGATTGAAATATGTGAACCATGATTGTGATGCATATGAAACTAGTTTTACATGCTTGAACCATATTTGAATTATGTGAACCATATTTGTACTATGTGAACCATATTTGAAATATGTGAACCATGTTTGAAATATGTGAACTATGATTGAAATATGTGAACCATGATCGAAATATGTGAGCCATATTTGAAATATGTGAACCATATTTGAAATATGTGAACCATGATTGAAATATGTGAACTATGATTGAAATATGTGAACCATGATTGAAATCTGTGAACTATGATTGAAATCTGTGAACTATGATTGAAATATGCCAACCATATTTGAAGTAACTAACGTGTGTGGGTGTGTGTGTAAGAATGAATTAAGCCATATTTGATGAATGTTATGGAAATGCTAACCATATTATTTGATAGGTATGAACTTTGTATTGTAATGAAAACTTAAAGCATATATAATTTTTGGTGTGATACTGGTAAGAAGAAAGTTTTGAACAAAAAAGAAATATATTTGATAAATTTAAAATTTTATTAGTCAAATTTCACTTGTTGATTATTTTATCCTTACATATTTCATTCTTATATATGTGTGCAGATCTGGAGAATTCTCCATGCCATCCATGAGCTGACGAAATTACTATGCATCACATGATCTATTATCATTTACATATTTAACCAATCAAATGCCGTGTTAGATTAAGATACTAAATGTTATATGTGGGAGATTGAACACTAGTAAAAGAAGTAGTTCTTCAGATCATGGATGGCGAGTGTGGTAACCAGATGGAATGAATACCAAATGAAATATCATTGACAAGATCATCATTTTCAGTGATATATATATATACAAACATTTATGATGTTACTATCTGTTTTGCTTTGTTAAAAACCAAAATGCCAATATAGGTGATCTTTTTTGATAAAAATTACTTATTCATATTTTGTAAAATTATTATGAGTGCACATATTGTATGTTATCATATATAGTTGAATTGTTGACCAACAAAAAGGAATATTTGTAGAGTAACTTAGAATTTTTTATTGGTCATTTTATGCTAGTCATGTACAACTGATTACTAACTGACCACTGGTCAGTTTCATTATTAGCCCTTTTTTTATATATGTTAAATTTGTATAGTGTGGAAGTATATTGCCATTATCCTTTGTCTGTCCATTTGTAGTTTCGTGTGAACTTGATAAGTGGTTGTTTGAAATAAATGGCTGGTTGAAGTAAACAGAACTTTACTTGTGACTGTATATTGTAAACTGAACTTTCCTTGAAGTTTACTTAACTTTACTAGTAGCTGTGAACTAAACTTTACTAGTGACTGAACTTAACTTTACTAGTAGCTGTAAACTGAACTTTACTAGTGATTGTTTGAAGTAAACTGAACTTTCCCAGTGACTGAAGTTAACTTAACTTTACTAGTAGCTGTAAACTGAACTATACTAGTGATTGTTTTGAAGTAAACTGAACTTGTGACTGAAATTAACTAAACTTTACTAGTAGCTGTAAACTTAACTTTACTAGTGATTGTTTGAAGTAAACTGAACTATACTTGTGACTGTTTTAGTAAATTTGTGACTGTTTTATGTAAACTAGTGACTTTTTGACATAAATAGTGACTGTTTGACATAAATAAGTGACTGATATAAGCATGTGACTGTTTGCAGTATATTAATGTATCTATTATTATAAATATTATAAGTCAGAAAAGCTCATGGTGCATATTATTGTTTTGAATTACAGATTTTTTATTTATTATTGTTAATTTTGTAAGAAAAAATATCAGAAAAATATATAAAGATGATGTAAACGTTTTTCTTTTTTTTTTTCGGAGATAACAGGAGGTTGTTACTTCTGAAATAATTCTGTCTCTATATTCATTGATGATGTGTCAAGGAGGTGATGGAAATCACCAGTAGATAGATTTGGAGAAATGTGTCCAGATTAATTTCAATATGAATCATAAGCACATAGACCTCACTCTTAGACTTTAGATTGGATGAAATGTTGTGTTCAACCAGAAGTTGAATGAATTTTAATAATTTGTTTCCTTCTCTATCAACGATTACTATTCATGTGCCAATGAAATGCATGAATTCTTTCACTTAAAAGGTCTTATCTATAAAAAGAATGCGCATAGCTTTTGAGGACTGTCCCATGCATTATTGTTTTCTGTCGTTAGATTGTGTGGTCAAAGGGGAATAATTAGTTATTAAAAGTGGTCTGAATGTCAATCACAAATTACATTGTTCATAAACCTTATTATTTTTTAAACTTCCATTTGTTGTTGATACTAGATCTATCTAAATAAAAATCGAGGACACAACCCCCTTTCTTTAAGTGAATCACTAGATTCATCAAGAAATATTTTTGTTCTATTCATTGTTTATTCGAAATATTCCGTGTCCAATATTTACAATTACCGGTATGTCATAAAAAAATAAACATGGAAGCCTTTAGGAAGTGTTTGTTAGGTCCGAGACTATTTAGAATGCACAGATATGAAAATAGTCCTGTAAGTATAACAGAGGAAGTACTTAATCGTTTCCAAAGACAATGTCAACTTTAAATTTACTGCAGGAAAGTGTGGCAGCATGTCCTAAGAAATATTCCAAGAATAGAATTTTGTCTTGTGCCGTGTAAAATTTAGATTTGAATTAGTATTGTAATATTACTTTAAATACTCCAATTTTGATGTTAAAAATGTGTTCAAGTAAGTAACAATGGCAGTTTACACAAAATCATTAAGAGTTTGTCCGACCATGACTATATAACATGAAAGAGATTTTTGCGCTATTTGTCATGGGTTATAGGCTTGAGTTACCATCCTCAGACCCAGTGCAAAAAAGATTAGAGACCTAAGCCACAATCTTCTTCGTGAAAGTTCATCATTGGTTGCCAATTCTGAGATTGCATAATCAAATGGTCACCTTTAAAACCAGATGCAGTCAAACAGGCAGGCCAAACACCAAAACTAGATCAAGCTGAATTAACAATACATAGACCTACACAACCTTTTTAATCACCCCTTCAGCTTAGCCTTATGTTGATCAAGTGTATATATAGATGTAAACAGTATATTTTAGAAATCTTTTCGATTATGATTTACAATGTTTTGATATTAAAACTTTGTATACCAGTAGGCCTAATGCCCCTTTAATCACACTTAGATATCTTTGTTTTATCATTTATAGGGAAGAGAATATCAGGCCAATGTTGTAGAATCTGGCTCAGATAAATGTTTGAAAGTGGTAAGATAATTTTCTCAAACTAGACACATCAGTATTAGTGTATTAATTATCAATTAAGATGGCTAGCCTATATTGTTTTAAGAAAATAAGATGAGATTTTGCAAATTTTTTATATCTTAATTTTCTTGATATTAGCCTACATGTTAAATTGTTAATATATTTCAGTTCAATTTTTGCTGGTCTCTGTCTTATTGGATGTCACCTATATTATTACCATATTTATACAGAAAAGGTCAGTAAAATTTCTGATGTAGATCCCTACAAAATGATTAGTTTAGCTGGAAATTAGTCCTTTCAACTGATTCCCATTGCAAGCTTTAGTTTCTGACAGCTAATCCTCTTTTCTTATTTCAGGACTCTTCACATTAGAAGGTTTAGGAAGTGGATTTAGAATAGGATTATCTCTATCTATAGTTTATTTTATAGCATATTTTATCAGAGGTAAGTGGTCTAAGTAAACTGTCATTTTGGTAAAATTTTTGATTTTTTTTTTCATGTTTACTGTTTAATTTGATATCAAACCATTAACTCTCTAGCCTTTTACATGAAAAATAGTTTTGATTTTGAACTAAAAGATTCTTCATAGTTGCTGTATTTAATAGCCACTGCATTTATTTCTGATGATGATGATGTCAATGTTTAATGATGTTTACAGGTATAGGAAGATTTACTAATAGTGATTATTTAGCATTTATCAGTGTTCTATCAACAGCTCAAAAATCATTTAACCAACAAAATAGGGTCAGTATTACTTCTTTTCTCTTTTCTGTATCTTAACAGTTCCAATTAAATGAAAATAATTTTAAGACAGAGCTGAAGTGACCAACAGTCGTCTGAAGTAGATCACACTGGCTCATAGTGTACAACACTGCCTCATAGTGTACCGCACTGCTCATAGTGTACCACACTGACTCATAGTGTACCGCACTGGCTCATAGTGTACCACACTGGCTCAGAGTCTACTGCACTGGCTTATAGTGTAATACACTGGCTCATAGTGTAATACACTGGCTCATAGTACACAGTGGCTGACTGTTAGTTAGTAGAGTCAAACACTTGCTCATGGTCATATCTCCATCAAAATGGACTGTGACCGTTTGGGATCTTATTGCAACTAGAAAATGTGATAAGTAACTGGCAAATGTGAAGAAATAGAGAGAAAAATCTTTAAAAAGTAACAATTTTTGAAACAGTAGGCCTCATATCACAACCTATGCAACCATATTGCGTCCCTACAGCTGTTACACACTTAAAGCTATTTTTTTGAGGTCTGTGATGAGATCAATGTTAGTCAACTAGAATAACTAATAACCACTTTTTTTCTGTAGAAATTATTACATAGATATGATAGCGAGTTATGGGCTTGGCCTGTTGAGTTTAAAACATCAGATTTTAGGTGAGTTGTTCTCTACTGCATCTAATATAATTTCTGATAAAAGGTGTGAGGCCATTATGTAATATGGCGACTTCATATGAATGAACAGCCTATGTGATGTCACTGAACACCCGATCACCAGCACGAAAATAAGCTTAATACTGCCTTTTCTCAGAAATGTTGAAATGATAAATTTTATATGAAAGTATCATTAAATAGGTTAATCAACTCTGAGTTTAATGATGTAAAATATGATTACTTTTGAGTTACTTGGACTGGTGATGGAGGTTTTGAAGACATCAAGGTGGCGAATTTACTGCAGTGACCCCACGTTACATTTATTTATTTGTGTTATGAGCCTCGTTATGGCCAACATGAATGAGGTCTATAGCTAATAGTTCATTTGTGAAAAGGAAAACATGTGGCAGACACACTTTTAGACTATATTTTTTGTTTTTTTCTATCGGTAGTGATCCAAAGAAAAGAAATGTGATAGTAAAGAAAAAAACTAGTCCATTATCATTAGACAATATATATCTCCATATACTCAGGTAAATATTATATAGTGAAGATATCTAGTCCATTATCATTAGACAATATATATCTTCATATACTCAGGTAAATATTATATAGTGAAGATATCTAGTCCATTATCATTAGACAATATACATCTCCATATACTCAGGTAAATATTATATAGTGAAGATATCTAGTCCATTATCATTAGACAATATACATCTTCATATACTCAGGTAAATATTATATAGTGAAGATATCTAGTCAATTATCATTAGACAATATATATCTTCATATACTCAGGTAAATATTATATAGTGAAGATATCTAGTCCATTATCATTAGACAATATATATCTTCATATACTCAGGTAAATATTATATAGTGAAGATATCTAGTCCATTATCATTAGACAATATATATCTCCATATACTCAGGTAAATATTATATAGTGAAGATATCTAGTCCATTATCATTAGACAATATACATCTTCATATACTCAGGTAAATATGATATAGTGAAGATATCTAGTCCATTATCATTAGACAATATATATCTTCATATACTCAGGTAAATATTATATAGTGAAGATATCTAGTCCATTATCATTAGACAATATATATCTTCATATACTCAGGTAAATATTATATAGTGAAGATATCTAGTCCATTATCATTAGACAATATACATCTTCATATACTCAGGTAAATATTATATAGTGAAGAAATCTAGTCCATTATCATTAGACAATATACGTGTTTCATCCCAACCATTTTTCAATGTGTGCAATCTTACCATATTGTGTAAAACGATTTAGTCGTCTTTATACCAATATCAGCTATGCATGTCACTTATCAGATAATTTGATATTATTTTGTAGTTATATGGCAATTCATACATTTGGTAGAAGAATGGTGTATCCTGGTACAACAGCTTTGATGTATACATTAGTAGGTATGTATGATAGTTTGATTTTTTTTCTCAAGGAACCAAAAAGTTCTGAAAAACCAGCATCAAATTTCTAAACAATACAACACAGAACATGAATTATAGCACATGATAGCATGTACATTAAATAAAATTTGTTATGAGCCCAGTTATTATTGTAATGCATAATTCCCAAATTTGTCAGTCACAGTCACAGTCACAAAGGTGGCACTCGATTGATGCATTCATTAGGAACAGGTTTTGTCTGTTCTAATTCTGGCCTCAATCAACCCGAAGCAGATTATGTCGCATTCAAAATATTCTCATCTATTTTTTCTCTGCCATTTTTTTTTTGGCACACGTGAAACTCGTTCGAAACCTTCCAACTTGTTATATTGAACCTCTGATACTATGAATCTGGAACGTGCCGAACCAACCTATCATGTGATCTCCGTAGTAAAGTTCAGGTGGTATGAAGGTTAAAATTTGTCAGCTATCCTCTACCCTCTTATGTCTATCAAAACCTTGCAATGTATGCTCCATTATAAATGATAATTTTTTACAAACATTGCCATGTGTATATTGTAGGTGAAACACTTATACAAGCCAGAGCTAAGCTTATAGAAGAGGTAAAATGAATATTTGATTTTTAAAAGTAATAAGTTTTTTGTGGTCTGCAACCAACAGTAAGAGTACGTATAGAGTAGAAAGATAAAAAGATCTTGAGAGTTTACAGATATAAATAGATATTATGAATATTGTGAAAGAATTCGAGGGAAGAATTTTACTAAAAAGCACAGATACTTGTTATACTTAAACATGTTTTAGAAAAATGGTATAAGAGCCAAGTTAAGGACAGAAGATAATAATGAATTAGATACAATGTTTCTAGATAGAAGAATGAGTGGTGGAAATGGTTCAACATTGGTCAGTACTGGCAATCTTTACATACTCTCTAAATCTACTTCATCAATTCAATTATTTTATTAGTAGGATAATTTGTGAAAGGTCATTGACAAATGCTTTCACCAAGGAACAGAAAGTAGAAAGAATTGGGGTGAACCAGGGATCTTTGTTAAATACAGATATTTTGTATGTACTCTTTGCCCACCAATTTGTCAGAATCACTATTTAAATCCCTTTGGATGACTGGTCTATTGGAGAAGAATTTATTTGATTTTGTGACATTTGAAGTAAGTCGAATGCACTGTCAAGGTCATCAAGTACATCATTTGCTCAAAATCATAAATTGGGATTCGGATGAGATTGTGCACTCAGAGTAGACAAATTATGGATATGTAGGAGAAACATACAGGTTATCATTTCTATACTAACAGAATTCACTTGATTAGTTCCATGTATTAAAGTCAGATTGTACATACTGTATTTGTAGGTGATATGTTTTGAAGGTAATGCTGGATTCTATGAGATCGGTTGTACAGGAACACCTATAGAGTTAGGATATTCAGTGTTAGGTTGGAACCATCCAGGGTATGCTGAAAGTACAGTGAGTGTTTAACCTATATTATTATAAGTCGGGCAACAAAATGGCAGTTTATTTTATACATACAAAGTAAATTTGTTGTCTCCATGGCTAATTTCCTTACGTTCTTAAGCCCTGGGGCCTTATTCTCCAAAACTAAACTTAAATAAAATCAAAATTTTAAGAAATACAGTAATCTGATTGGATAACAAAACTAATTTTAAAATCAATTTTTGTGATTGACCAATTAGATTAGTTAAGTTTTAGAGAATAAGGCCCCTGGTTACTTACTTTTGGTACTAGTACTGGCTGAAGTACCTCAGGGGGTCAATTTGGTATTGTAAGGTTCAGACATCTCTATCCCTGTGCAAATAATCCACATTTTTTGTTGAAGTGATGGGGTAATAATGTGGAAAAGAGGTGTGATTAGTTGAAAAATGTTGCGAATGTGGGCTCTGAAGGGTATATATCAATTAAGTTTCACAGTTTCAATACATTAATGGCTATGTTCCTTAAAACAGGCACCTCAGAATAATTCAAAATTATTATTATCTTGGAATTGTATATCAACATACAAACAATTTAATGCCAAGCTCTATGATTGAAAGAACTGTAAAGTACCATGTAATATGTATTTTGTGATTTGTAGGGTGTTCCTTTTCCTGATCAAGAACAAAACGCTGTAGATACAGTCATGCAGTATGCTATACAGAAATTAGATTTTACACCAGATAATATATGTTTATTTGCCTGGTCTATTGGTGGCTACAGTGCATCATGGGCAGCCATGACTTATCCAGATGTCAAACAAGTGGTAAGTTGTCAAACTAGTGTTACTTTATGTAAGTTGACAAAAAAGTACTATTTGATTGGAGTAGATGTAGCAAATTGTCACATAAGTTGTAAGCTGTGATAATTCCTACTTTTCTGCACCAAAGTTGACCAAAGCAGTAGTTTTGGTTGCAGTCAAGTCACTGTCCCTGGCAACAATGTAACCAATTAGTCTTTCTATATGTATGGTACCTTGTGATAATTGTTACTTCTTTTCCAAATGATAATTGTTAAGTGTATTTGTTAGATATTAGATGCTACATTTGATGATATCATTCCACTAGCAACTTCAAAGATGCCTAAATTTGGAGGTAGGTATTAGAAATATTTTAATTAAAGTGGTTCTGCAGGCTGATTGCTGGCTTTTATTGTTGTTGTTGCATATTCTTAAAAGTGATAGGCAAAGAATTTTTTGAAAGATTATCAAACAAGTAATCCTTCTATGAGTGGAAAAACCTTTAAAAATTTTCTCCAAAATGTCCACATATGCTGGTACATTTGTGTTCAATAAGAAACAGATTATTTTTTTCCCCCTGTTATTTCATTACAGACCTGAAACTGAAGCGATTTATTGTTCATAAAGATAAAATCCAAAAAATGGAGATGGAGTCAAAGCTTGTCTTTTTATTGAAGTGCTACATGTTGTATTTCAGAAAAACTAGTAGAGTTTACATTAAAGAAGTACATGCATTTGAATGTAGCTGATCAACTTAACAAGTAAGTTTTAATAGAAATCATATAAGATATACATGTAATTATAACATCAAATATGAAGTAAGTTTTAATAGAAATTATATAAGATATATATGTAATTACAACACCAAATATGAAGTTAGTTTTAATAGAAATCATATAAGATATACATGTAATTACAACATCAAATATGAAATAAGTTTTAATATAAATTATATAAGATATACATGTAATTACAACATCAAATATGAAGTAAGTATTAATATAAATTATATAAGATATACATGTAATTATAACATCAAATATGAAGTTAGTTTTAATAGAAATCATATAAGATATACATGTAATTACAACATCAAATATGAAGTAAGTTTTAATATAAATTATATAAGATATACATGTAAGTACAACATCAAATATGAAGTAAGTTTTAATATAAATTATATAAGATATACATGTAAGTACAACATCAAATATGAAGTAAGTTTTAATATAAATTATATAAGATATACATGTAAGTACAACATCAAATATGAAGTAAGTTTTAATATAAATTATATAAGATATACATGTAATTATAACATCAAATATGAAGTAAGTTTTAATAGAAATTATATAAGATATACATGTAATTATAACATCAAATATGAAGTAAGTTTTAATAGAAATTATATAAGATATACATGTAATTACAACATCAAATATGAAGTAAGTTTTAATATAAATTATATAAGATATACATGTAATTATAACATCAAATATGAAGTAAGTTTTAATAGAAATTATATAAGATATACATGTAATTATAACATCAAATATGAAGTAAGTTTTAATAGAGATCATATAAGATATACATGTAATTACAACATCAAATTTGAAATTTTTTTTCTATTTGGTAGACTTTCATAAAAATTTATATGAATTTGATATTTGACTTTTATTATTCAAATATTTTTAAAAATATCCATTGTGATTTAGCCTAAGGATTAAATAATTGAGGCATTTTTTTGATTAGAATTCACATCTTTATATTTCATTTCCTTGTTTTATCAGCGGGTAACTACACTTGTCATCTTTGGAAGTAGACATTCTGCAATCTTCCATAAACTGAATCTGACTCGGTAATGAATGGTCAATTTCTTTGTGTCTTCTTTGTTGAGACTCTTTACTTCTGGAATTTAGCAGAAATGTTTCTGTAAGCTGAATCTGACTCAGTAATGAATGGTCAATTTAGCAGAGATGTGTATAGTGATAGTAATATTGCCAATTAGATATAGTCCTGAAATTTAGATACTTTGGAGATAATACTGACACTTACATATGTATTTAATGCTATACTTTTACTATTGGTTATCCAATGATACATTTTATTATCATTTTGAATATATGACACTTGTAGCTGCGACTAATCTGCCACTAATATTTAGATTACCAGAATCACGTGATCACGAGACAATATTGGCAATATTAAAATAAAATGGCCATTTATGACCGTGATAGGTTGCAGAGCGTAACTTTCATAGAGGCCGTTTGTGGAAGTAGAGTCACCCACATAAAAAACAAAAAGTATAATACCCAAACTACTATTTAAATCTGATTGCTGAAATAAGTTATTGATATCTTAGTATTCACCATTTCTAACTTTATTTTTTAGTATATTAAACAATGTGCAAATCTTGATATTATTTCAGGTATCCTGGACCAATTCTTATCATTAGAAGATCTAAAGATGAAATTATTACTACAGAGTAAGTATTTACTATAGTTAGATAAGAGTATTTGAACTGAAAAAGCAAGAACCATCTATTTTGTTTCAGTAATGATAACTATTGCCTAATAGACTTACTACTGTCTAAATAATTTATCTAGTAAATCTGTACATTCTAAATCAAGTAACAAGTTACACATATTTCTGAGCACAGCACTACAACTCTTGTGTATTTGTTTTTACAGAACCATTCCTGGTATTCCACCAAATATTACTACTAATAGAGGCAACTATCTCCTAATACGTCTTCTACAAAACAGGTGAGATTCATGCACTTTCAGCTTCTTTTTCCCCCAAAATGCATGCACATATGACAATTGAATCATTTTTTTTAGAACTAAACAGGACTTCCAGATGTTGAAATAGTGCTACTAAAAGCTATAAGTATCTCTGTTACACTTGCAAGTAATTTGAATAGCAGCATAAATTACACTTAATATGAACTCCCTTGATTTCTTAACTAGATATCCTAAATTAATAACAGAATCAACATTAGAATTATTACATGAATGGTTGGCTGGTGAAAGTTCACATCAAGGTATGATCATATTTAATGCTTTTAGTGTCAAATAGATTGATTTATCTACAACTTGTATGCTAGAAATAACACAAGTATTTTTAGATAGAGCTAGTCCTTGAATGATGGATATGAAAGAAACTGTATTGCAAGGATAACTACTTAAATTTACAAGAATGCTTTCTGTTGGCTGGTCCTTGTCTTAACCTCTTGGCATTGATCTTTGGGATTATGCCTACCCAATTACAGCTGTCTGTCAGATAGTGTCCACTGGAGTTAAAGATCGTATTCCAAAAATATTCTCGCTTAAAAAAAAATTTCTTGCAAAGGGGTGCAACTCGTATCTTCAAACGTGGTCAATTCAGCAGAGGACCAATGAGCTAGACTATATATTTTATAAAAGATTCTGGAGTAAATATTTATAGAGATGATTACCCTGAGATATTATATTTAAAAGGCCTTGGTTTGATATGCAATATCTAACATCTGTGGGATTTTATGTGTAATATCCCCATATTTTGTGAGATATAAAATCGCACCAGAACAATGGGATGATGTCAGAAAGAGGGTTATAAATCTTTATTGTAAGAAATTGTTATTTGATAGATATTATGTTTGTGGATCATCTTGTTGATAGTAGATATTGTAAAGCAGCATTACAATCCTATATAGAAGAACATTCAGCCAGTTTCCCACTTAATATTGGTGAGTAATATATTTATATACACACTCAGATATATAGGAGCATCTTACTGCTAGATCATCTGTGGAAGCAACAGAAGATTTGTAAGTCCTCTTTTACGGTTGGTCTAATATGCCATAGAATTTGATACTTTGATTGCAAACAGAAAGCACAGATACAAAAAAGATCTGTGAACATCCAAGCTTATGATGTAATGTTTTTGTTTTTAGGTGAAGATATGGACTCAGTAGAAAAGAATCAGATGGTTCTATATTTAGTAAGTACAGATTGTGATTTTTTTTTATTTTCTCCTGAATTTCTTGATCTATACATATATCTATATAGGTTTTTGTGTGTTAGTTTTCTTTCATAAGAATATTGATGAGAATGCAATGCCATACACTCAATAAGGAATTCTCAAGTGGCTCTGATAAGGAATTTCACTGAATTGGTGTAACATAAATGGTAAAGCATGGTTCATTGCTCTTTGATCTTACAGTCAATAGTTCCTGCCAGGTGAAACTTGAAATAGGTAGAGGCAGCAAGAGCAGCACCATATAGTTACCTCATAATACATTAAACAGTCAGCGTAATTGTCAATTAGAGAACCTCAATTCAGTCAATCAATTAAATTCTTCACAGTCATTTTCTGAAAGATGGGTTCCCTTATTTTCATTTATGAAAATAAAAATGCTAATATTTATATGAATATAAAGTAGAGGTCTTTGTTTATCTAGACTGGACATAAATGGGCATTTATGATTTATGGTTAAAACTCTTAATTATGAGCATAATAATATGATTAAGAATACATGATAATTCATTAGAAACACCAATTAATAAAATAGTTTGTTTAATTTGACGTCAATAATGATGGATTGTGTTTTTGGCACATCCATCCATGCACCTTGTTTTTAATAGATTTGTATTGGTCATTTGGTTTTCAATTTAATGGTCAGTTGCCATGAAAAAAAGTACTTAGAGTAGCACATGTCTAATGATATATTTTGACCCTATTTTCCAGGCATCTAAATATATGAGAGATTTTGATTCAACTCATTGTACACCATTACCAACTTCTTTCTTTCAAAAACCATGGACTTATACAGATTAATACTAATTTATATTTATGTAAACCAAAGGACATTTTCAAACTCAGTTTAATTTATTTTGCTGTAGGTAGTGTAGAATTAGAATTTGTCTTACCAATTGCTTCTATTGTCTGAGCAAATCAAAAAGTTTTTCGAATTTTTTCGATATTTTTTAAGAGAATGGGAATATTAGCCTTAATATTGTACTACTATTCCTAGAATGTCTTTTGCGTTGATAAAAATATAATTTTTTGTAAATTTACATTGAAAAGAAACACATTTCTCCCCTAGAATTTTCAACCCCAAAAAGTCACTAATTTTGGCTGAAAATTGTCCTCTGTAAAAACAAATTTGCTTATAACTTTATCAATGCTAAGACTAACAGTACTATTTTTAGGCTGCTATTTCAATTCTCATAAAAATAATGGGAAAAATTTAAAAAACTCTTTACTTTGCTCAGGGAATAACTTAACTTTTCCTTTTGCTGTATCTTCCTTAACCCATTAAATGCTCACTTGCAACAGTAGAATCAAAATAGTGTAATATGATTTCTACGTGATTTCATTTTCTGAACTTGGCAAATATGTCTCAATTTGTGTGATCTATGTTACTGGTAATATCCTATGTTAATATCCTGTATCATGAAAAAATTTTGCTGTATTCATTACCTCTAGTTTAAATTAGAATCACCAGTTTCCTTGTAAGAATCAATATTTGAAATATCAGTATGTTAAATGATATGTTGTACTTCCCAGTGGTGACGAATGCAGCATTCTTTAAATTGTTATGGACATGTTTTCTATTTTTGTATATGAACTTTTATTTATTGTGTAAATTTTTTTTAAGTACTAACATTATGTAGAGTAGTTAAAACAGTGAGCTTTCGATTTACAATAATAATATGACTTTGGTGTGTTCTAACCTGAAAAATTTCAATTTTTTTAAAAAATAAACTATTAAATACTTATTTAATTTTCTTGCTGAATACATGTAACTAAAAAATGGACATATTGGACAGTTGTTAAGGGTTTCCACAAAATTCATGTTAATTTTTAGAAAGACTTGTAAGGGAACTTTTATTTTAAAATGAAACAAGTTAAAATACTTTTGCATCCTTCAGGAAATATCAATTTATATATAAATTTCCACAATATGAATAAAATTGGAATGTATTGTCTCAAAACGACAGGGCTGTTTTCCATTTCCATATCAAACTTCTGCGTGTCATCATATACAACTGAAAAAACAAGTTGATTATTAATGAAGCTCTGAATCTTTGAATTTCAAGGTGCAATGAGGGACACAGCCGAGACAGCGGCATTAGTCTGCTCTTTCCAACTGTCGAGGGATCTTTAACATGCACAGTCTGTAGCACACAGGGTATCGGTTTATTGTCCTATCCATACAACTAGACACTTTTTCCATGTCAGCCCCTCTTACCTGCATCACTGTCAGGGGGAAACCAGGTTGAAAAATCCCAAGGTATTATCTCAGCCTATGCCTGAATTGAACACTAGACCTTCATGTTAACTCACTGAGCCACCGCGGCTCCCTCAATTCAATAAAAGCACTAAATTATAGTACAAAAAATATGTTATCAATTATATTAAAATGTAAGTTACACATATAATAATTCAAATTTAAAATAAATAATAATAATGAATAATTACTTGTCATGGTTAATAAAATATGTTCTTAAAGTTAAAATGAATAGAGCTTAATATACAATAATATTGTAAAAGAATGTTATAAATTAATATTAATATAATTGTATGTTACTTGATGTAAATTTATTTTCATCTAAATATTTTGATATTTACATTATATTATATTCATCCATATAATATACATCAAAATATACAATAATATATTTCAGTATTTTTATTACATGCAATATTTTATAAAAATAATTTGATATTTACATTAATGTACATACAATATTTGGTAGGTATGATATTATATGCAATCAAATATTTGATATTTATACCAATATAAATACATTTTGATATTTACATACAAAACTTTATACAGATCAAGTTACATGCAATTTATATCAATATATATATATATACTTTGATATTTACATTACAAAAAATATATGGTCGATATCAAATTACATGCATTTATCTATTTGATATTTATATCATAATATTGAGGTTTATATAATTGATACATGTATCTACAACAATAGTACAAGATTAAATTTGATACATTTCTTGTGTCCTTGAAACCAATCCCTTTGGTTAGGAGTTTAGCAGGAAATATCACACAGACATAATTAGATAGTTGAAATAGATATTTATGTATTTCCAGAGATCAGATAAAGAATTTGCCATGAAAAAAGAAGAAAATTAGCTGTAAGTTATGTATGGTGCCAATTTTCACTTATGAAATCGTTTTGTATCATAGCTTTTATACACCTTTGCCAGACTATCAAACTACACATAATATCAATGAAGATCTGCCCTATCTTAATATTCTATTCACTCTCTCAATCTGATTTTTCATCTGTACCTTGAATCATGGAGTTATATTTTCGAGCATTTTCTTGATCTCGTTTGACTACAAACATTGTTAATAAAAATAATAATGAACCACCAACATACATTCCTGGGTATAAAACATATAATGCTCCTGAAATATAATAAATAATGTTTTGATTAACATTTTATTATGAAAGAAAAGATTAACAAATTAGGCTCACAAGGATCTTTTCTAGAAGCTGGTCCTTGGCCAAACCTCTTAGCATTGATCTTTCCAAGATTATCTATACCCATTTACAGATTGGATTAATGCCGCAAGATGACTTTTTGAGTCACCAGACCTAAACTGACAAAGATAAGAACCCACAAACACCATTTACTCGTCATAATGAAGTAAATGATGTCATTTCATCACATAACTTACTCAAGATCATCAGACTATTATACTATTACACAGGCAAGAAACTGTTTCAGAGACAGAAGTTTTTTAACAGCTTTGAACTGCTGGGATATTTATACAATACCTTGGCAAAGTAATTTCTAAGTACAGCTAACTCTAGCACAATTTATGGATCAACATTAAAACTTACCTCGTAAAGACTGAATTTCATTATAACCAGAATTTTCTAAAGATTTCTGAAGTGGTGGTACTATTAACGGAAAATTACCACCAACATTACTTATAATAAATAAATATACTGCTACAGCTGTAGTTCTTACTCTAGTAGGTACTAATTCTATTACTACAGCTAATGTTACACCAACCCACATCTCACCTACAAATATAACATAACATAGTAATACATATAATTTATAACATAATTTATAACTTATTGTAATTATAGCAACATAATTGTAAGTATAACATATTATTATATAGTCGTAGTTAAATTTAACATATTAATTTAAATGTAACATAACATCATAAAATGTATAACATATTACCGTTATAACTATAACATATTTTAGTTATAAATATAACATTATAATTATGTGTGTCCAATATAATGATGTGTGTCCATTTACATATTATAATTAAAAATTTTCACATACACATTATAATTATAACTTTCCATATACACATTAAAATCATAAATATCTCAGTAGAAATTTAAACCTGCTATAGTTTTAACAACAAGTATAATCTTACCTATAATATATGTGGGTATTTGACAGATGAAAGCCCATGGTGGATCAAAAAATAATGTTCCTGCTGCGAAAGGCGCTGCTAAAATCTGGAATAACAAACCAACAGTTTTAGAAATTGTTGCTTAGCATCGACTATACCCAACCTAAAAAACTCATTTGCAATGTCCTATTCTAAATCATACATTTTC